CGAGATTCTTGGTACCTCCCGGCCAAAGAAGTGGTTTTGCGGCCTGAACAAGAGTCCACCTGAGCAAGACTAAGTGCATACGGAGCTTAAGGCCACTGAAGGCGGGAATCACAATGGGCACAGTGGTGCTTCGAGCTGGTCCCGTGGCGCTTATTCCAAATTGGGACTGAATCCTGACTGGGGCATACTGATGGATCTTGCAGGTGTTGCCTCTAGCTACCTATCGCGAGCTGACCTCTGCCCCTACCGTGACCTCGGCCTGTCTTTGTGCCTGCTGGTGTACTAGTGGACAGTCCATCCTTCCAGTTAGTACGTGTCCTCTCCATTCTGTGAGAATAGAATAACAGGATAGTTTAGTTTACACAACAGATTCGCACGGACAAGTGCACAACCTCTTTTTACCTACTACATCTCGTTAATGGCGTAATTAAAGGGAGTTATTTCCAACTTGATGACATCGGACGCGGATTATTTATTACGATTTAGAGCCAACCACTCGGCGAAATTAAGGGTCCAAGTACATATGATACCATCCAGAAAATTATGACTCTGTTAACAGTCAGGAACCAGAAATCGCGGTAAGGAATTCTGTTAACCCGGAGAAGGTGTAGCATTTCCGGGTTCCGGTGGTTATGCTCGGTCCCCAACTGTCCTGCATTTGATTTATCTGATTTCGAAACATGTTATAATTATGTGCTTTATATAGAAAACCGCTTTTATTGTTGTTTTTTTTAGTAAGAATTGCAACGTCGTGAAAATGCGTCGTCGAACCAGTCGCCTACCAGTTTTTTTGGCCCACCGGGTTATCAACACCATTGTCGACTTCGTTGAGATTCGCATTTGGGTACACTAAATGTGCCACCGCATTTGGAAGTAATTTTATATAATGTGTGCCTAAAGAGATTATACTGCGTATATCTTTGGGAAGGCGTGGAATTCACTAAACAACCCATCCCGAAGTCTAGTATTTTAGATATAAACATTTAGTCGAGGGCCCCCGCAATTTTACATTGTATCTGGATGAGGGACTCGTTCGTTATTATTAAAGGCTTAGTCTGAAGTAACTACGCCTTTCCGATTTTGTTTTATCTCCTGAAGATGCATAGGCAGGGAGTCTAATTAGTCTATTAATCCCACTAGCAGAGGCTTTGGGCCTGATATTGCCCAAATCGGGACAAGATTTAGAGTTGCAGTTGGATGATGAAGAATCGAATCCTGGAGCTGGGAACACTGCTCTGCTCAACTTTGCTCGCAGAAATATATTCGAAATCGCTATGAGACAATAAGTATAGCAATGTTATGTTCTTATTCAAATTAATAGAAATTGATTAGCAGTACGAGTGCCTAAATTCATACTTTGTCTGTATCAATTATTAACAACCAACAATAGTGTTCATATATCAACTAATCAGATTACTAATGACCATAGAATTATCCATATTTGGCCTTAAACATGTACTCAGGAACCACATGGTTTGACATTGATAATTTAGCCTGCTTATTATTAAATACTGTATTATGGAAGTGTTAAGAAAACAAGCTTAAACTTACTTTCCTGCCTTTTAAAAGTTTACACAGAAAATATGTCGAACCCAGTCTAGTATAGCTGATTAGCTCAAAGTAACAGTCCGAAGCATGATGATTAACCAACTGACCATAGGCATAGATTCTAACAATATGAATTCCATAATCAGGAATGAAAATTCGTTGCACAGTCCAGATTGTACCAGGTCCAGTTACAACAGTCCAGTTATACATCGCAATGTTTTAACACAAGAAAATTATATTTGTGACTACTATGCTATGCGATTAAATCTAACGTCTATTTACTACTAATTACACACAGTCCAGCAGCATATTTCAGATCAAACAGGTGAACATTTGATATTCCTTTCAGCGTTTAAGGTTATCAGCAAGGGCGGATTCAAATGTGACCTGGTAATTGAAAAAGAAAAGGAAAGATCAAGCAGCAGCAGTGACAAATCAACAGATCACGACAGCCACAATAGAGTAATTTTGAATCAGAACAGCTTCTCAAATGCCCAGGAACGAACTCAGAAATTGACACGCCCATAGATGACCAAAACAGCGTAATTGACCCCAAAATTACTTGAAATCAAAAGCACAGGAAGCTTCCTAACTTCACAGACCAGGAAGTCAACTTGAACAAACCAATTCAACCAAACCTAAACAGGACCCTTTGTTGCACTCAATACTAGGAAAACAATTGCTAGAACTTGGAATTGGCCTATGAAAACTCAATGTAACAGTTATTTTTTTTTTGGTTTTTCTATATTTTTTGTTGGTTTTTTTTTTGAGATTTTCAGATGTTACGAAGAGATTTATCGAGTTCCAGATCTGGCGTTTTCTCGATCTGAAACTCAGGATTTCTGTTGGACTTAGGGAATTGGGGGGGGGGGGTCGAGATGCTGCTCCAAAACTTGCCAATGAAGGCAAGGGCATGCCCTTCTCAGTTAGGCACAAATGACGGAATTCAGATTTCAACTTTACCAAAACATCCCCCTTTTTATTTCTATTTAACCTCTATTTACTTGACTTGTGTCTCAAGTTACTTACCCTAGACTTGTTAAAATTATGACTAAATCCTATTCTAGAATTTAAGGGTTATCTCCTCTCTTT